TTTTTTTTTTTTTTTTTTTTTTTTTTCTTCTTTGTGTTGTATTATAAATTTATATTGTATATTACAAGAGGACTACCCAATAAAGCTGTGGAAGAAAAAAAAATCATTAATCACTATTAAGAAGAGCCACGGCCCTAGCTTTAGCCCCTAAAGAACACCGGCTGGGATGTAACGCCACTCGGAGAAGCAGTCCTGGTCCAGTTTAACTCTCTGTCTCCTATCCAATAAAAAATCAGCAATCCAGCTTAAGATGTGGTGCGGAATTTCGTAATCTGAGAGTTTACGCACTAAGATATTGTGATCAATGAGATCGAACGCCTTACGGAAATCAAATAAAACTACTCTAATCGCGTCCACGTTCCCATCAGAGCTGACGTGTCACTTTTTGATGACCTTTCGCGCGCGATTGAGTGTTTATCAGGGGGGCCTGGTGTTTATGCACAAGTCGCCTAAGCTCACTATCAGAGCCCTGAGCAGCTTCACGTACCCTACTAACTATTTTATTACTCATGCAGTAACAATTATTAAACTGTTGTGTTAGAATTTATTTCGTTGCTCAATAAATTAGCGAAATGTACATGAACGTTCCCTTTTAAGCTTACATTTAACTTTTCTTGTGTTTATTTATGTGTCGACTGCGTTTCAGGCGTCTCAGAAATACCTTTTTTAAACGAGGGACTGGTTTTTACTCAGATGAAAGAAGAGAGAAGAGAAGGGAAGACTGCTCGGGGCTTTGATAGTTAGCTTGTGTGGGCTTCCGGTGTTTCCTGTTGGCAAATAAACTAAATGCTACACCGAGGTTAATTCGCTTCCTTTTTGGCAACAGGCTGTACGTGACTCACTTTTCCATGTTTAATCAGTAACTGGTAAACGAAAACACGGCCTTGAAAAATAATTTTTGCTTCATTTGTTTCCACATTATTACAGGTTGATACTGAGCGAACAATTGAATAAAAATTGTTTGATTTACACCTTTGCAGAATTTGACACCTATGAACATCATCGAGCCAGAAGACGAGCGAATTCAGGTAATAATGTTTGCAAAGCTAAAACAACAGCCACCATGATTAAAGAAGTTCACAAACTTTTATCAGAGGGAAGACCGCGAAAAGAGACGGCAACTAGCATAATATGTTACCCAGAAGTGCTCATATTTTTCTTAAATGATGCTACATTGTTGTATAAAATAATTATGCTAGGTTTTGTAAATCATTCTCATTTTAGCAAAAAATGTAGAAATTTTGCTTCTACTTTTCACTTTAAATAATTTTGGCCAAAACATCTCAATAAGTAAGCAACAAACAAGTACTGATGCATGGCAAACATATTAACCCTATTTACAACTAGAAACTTAACTAGTGCATAATTCATAATTCGTTTGCAGTGATAAAATGAATGTACAAAGGTAAAGCAATCAAACTACAAAACTATCAGACAACTATAAAAACTCAAACAACTGACAACCACCACGCGGACGCCATCTTTGGTAACCAAGCTTGTTATGCACAGGAAAGAGTCCAGGGGTCACTTCCAGTGGAATCCAGGTCCAATGAATGCGATAATAAGCAGACCAAAAAATAATTTTGTTACTTATATTTCCCTGAAACACACTGATCGTCGGCCAAAAAAAGTTTGTTGCGTAATCAGTAAATTACAATTTAGCGCTTCAAAACTAGCCAAAATAGCAAATTATGCTAGCAGTGCTCTTTTTGGAAAACAGATAGAAATTATGCTCGTAATTTCGAATTATGCCAAAAATTATGCAAGTCCAATCTATCAAAGCCTCACTGCAACTTTGCAAATCAACACGTGACACATGTCTTTTAGGTCCCCCAGGTCTCCTTGGTCCACCGGGGCCGAGAGGAGAGAAGGGAGATCGGATACGAATAATTTAGCGACTGTTATAGAATCCAGGTTTGTAATGTTTAGAGTTGTTTGTGATTTTCTTTGTAGAAATTTCGCTTAGAAAGTAAAATGAACAACACTCTGGAAACTCTTCAGGAGAAAATAACTGACGAAAAGGATGTTCTGTTTTCCCTTTTCCAAGTGGGAATGTTCCACAGGATGGAACTGCTTCAGTTCCGCGGGTTTTGCAGCTACACTGCCAACAACTAGTAAAACGAATAATAATGAAAAAAACGTGAAATCAAGTGATAATTTTCTTGTTAACTCTCAAGACGTTGGATGCGCTGAGCAATGAAGCATTGGCAGTTTGGTAGGTTTCCTTCTACATTGCGCCGCATTCGCTTTTTCAGTCCGGGTTTTATTTTTATGGGTGTGGAACTTTTCTTGACCCTGTTCTTCCTAGGTTTTTCTTCCTATTTGATAACCAAATTCACAATCTTACAAAGAAAGCACAATTCTATGTTTTAGCTAGCCCACTCTGGAAACTCCTTTGTCGAAATTCTCTCTGTTACTTTATTGTATTCTACTTTACTTTACATTCTTGAGTTTTATTTCTTTTTTAATGAAATTCCCTTTTTATGTCAGGTTGCTGGCATGGCTTGGCGTATGATAACCCCAGCGGATATGCCCGACTGCATTTTCCAAGAAGTCTCTGAATCAACCCCAGGAAAGCGAAGAAAGAGCGCGGGACGGAAGAAATCATCCAAGAACGAGAGTGAACAAGATGCTAACATCCGAAACAATGTGCAAGAGGAAATTGTTAAGACTGGTACGCCTGTGATAACTAGTAAGCTTGCATTAAAGGTTAAATTCGTGAAAAGTGCACTTAGCTTACCCAGCTTGTTAACACATGCACTCCACTCAAATAACTTGAGAGCAAATATAGCATAACAGAATAAAAAAAAAAACCCAACTAGCTCCAACTGGCAGGAGGCAGCCAGCTGCCCATTTACAAGCGTGGCTGAGGATATGAAATATTGCGAGCGCGAACAAATCCAGCAAGTGACCAAGGCGGGATTAGAACCCGAGACTCAAGCTCTCACGTTTTCAGTGTTTTTCGTTGTTGTTATGGTTTTTTGTTAGTAGTCACTTCAATTTTAAGAACCATGATTAATGCACTTGCAGAGGTCTTGAAATAAGCGTCAAGGACGGTGATGAAGAGTTTGATCAGCCTGAGATAACCGAGGATAAACCTTCACTTGTCAACCAAAGTGATGAAGCTACTGCAGATCCAGAATACCCACAACCGGATGAGAAACCAGTACAGGTATATAACTTGCCAGTTTAGTGTAGAAACTATCATGTAGGCATTTGATTGCTTATTCCAGGAGCCCGCCTCGCTCTTTTTCAGCACCTTTTCGTTTTCCTATTTTGTTTTGTTTTGCTCTTTGTTTGTTTTTTTTTAAAGATTTTTTGTTTCAAAAAAGACAGAAACTACCTTGTCTGTTTTGGTCGCGACATTCCCCCCCCCCCCCCCCCCCATTTTTGTGGTGAAACTATAATTTGAGCTTTTTTTTGTTTTTTCCAGGGCCCCCCCCCCTCTTTTTTCACCCCCTTTTCTTTTTCCTTTTTTTTTTTTTTTTTCTTTTTTTTTTTTTTTTTTTAAAAATTTTTTTTTTCAAAAAAAACAAAAACTTCCTTTTCTTTTTTTGCCCCGACCTTCCCCCCCCCCCCCCCAAACAGCTGCGCATTTTTTCTAGGGTGTTATGCTTCTTATTCAATGGCAACGTTTTTTGCCTGTGTTTCTGCTGAGTTTTAAGATTTCCTTCATGTCGGGGCTGAAATACGTTTCATCACGTTTAGTCCAATACAGTTAATGGTCTGTGGTATCGCAAGGATGCACCCGAAGTTATTACCCCAAAGAAGAAAAATCACGAGAAAAAACAGTCTCCTCGCCGGTCTGCAGAAGAATTAGAGGCTAAACAAGAAGCAAAGAAGGAGGTTGGTGTTGACATTAAGGTGATAATATGCGTTTTAGTGAAAGGGATGGACACTAACCACCTCACATACGAGACGGACACGCAATCGAACTAATTTTATTTGCGAACAGACTTATTACGATTTGTTGTGACTTTGATTACAACTTTCTTGAAGCATTTGTTCACACGCCAATTGAAGGATTGATTTTCTTTGAAGGTACCGTCGCCTGAAAAACCTGTTTGGAGTAGTAACGCGAGGTATTTTTGTATTCAGTTCTTTTTCGAAATCTTTCTTTCTTGCTTCCATGAACTCGTATAGGTGCTTATAATTGCGGCTTTCTAATTAATTAGTTTTTATTTACTTTTTTTTTTAAATATTGACACTTAAACGTTATGAGCGTTTCTTACCTCTCTCCTTATATCTAGCGCAGAAAGTCCTCCCGCTACAAGTCTCAAAGACATCATTGAGCAGGAGCAGAACCAGGCTACCCTCCGTCTCGATTCCCCGGATGAGGTACATGTTACATCCGCCCTTGTGAGATTCCACGTTGGTATAATCATGACATTAGGTCCTAGCATACAGCTTTTGTTAATTAGATATTCCTTAACGCAAAAGCGAGTGGAACGCTTGTTTCTTACCAACGCCCCAACCATTTTCCAAAGTCTGATAAATCTAACATAAACCAAGCGTGACTGGGGTTGTCAATTAACCTTCTGGGTTTCTTTGCTTTGTGTTATTGTGCTATTCCCTTTCTTTTTTCTGCATCTTCGATTCTTAGTATACTGTATTGTCTGCATTATGAATAATGTGATTGTCTTTTTTGAATGAAGATCACTTTGAAGTCATTTGTATTTACTTTGTTGGTACAATCGAACCTCTCCTTATGGAAACATCTATAATACGGACACTGTTCTCTGTCCCTAAGACAACAAAAGTCATACAATTTTTACGTACATGATTTGGACAGCTCTGTAATGCGGACACCAGGTCCTGTCCCTGTACATTCATATAAGGGCCCTGGGGTTGGACTGTTTGTCCTGTGCTGAATTAGCTTACAGGCGATACTCTCCACACGGACACCTCCTTATTTTGTATGGAACAGTTCTCTTTGCCCCAAAGACACCGAAATTCATACGCAATTCCTTCCTCTACAATGCGGTAACCTCTGTAATCAGGACACCTGGTTCCAACCCCTTAATATCCGTGTTTAGGAGGTCTGACTGTATATATTTTTATTTTATTGATTTTACAGAAAAAGTCCATGACAAAGAGAACTTCCAACAAGAGCCCACCCAGTCAGTGGTAAGGATTGCGACTTGATTTGAACGCGTATTATTGGGTTCCTTGGCTTCGCTCATTTCTCAACGATTAAAATCCTTTGTAAATTTTCAGCCAGTGTGAACATTACAGTCGGAAAATGTCAACCGTAGTCTTGTGTTGTTTTCAGTTTAGGCACCAGTCCGCCTAGTGCTGCTCTTTGGTGGAATTCAGGTGTCCGGCAATCACAGAAGCAACGAAAGAGGTCAAAGTCCAGCACATCAGACGAATCAAGCAGCAACCTGAAAGGCACAGAAGGGAATGCAAGGGAAGTAACCTCTGACGAAAGAAAAGATAAAGAAGCAGCTCCTGCATGGTATGTTCCCCTCCTTTCATTTATTTATTTATTTACTTTTTCTTTCAGTACGTCTTTGGTTACTGTTATCCACTGTGCTTCGGCGAAGATTAAAAGGATGTTAACAAAGACTACAAATTTACTTTCCCTTCTCAAGAGGAAAAGGGAATGGTTTCTATGTGGTGTGTTGGTTTAAGTATACCTTTTGTTTGAAACACGAGACGCAACCGACAGTTTTGAGACTTCATAAACACGAAATGCGATTTCGGGGGGGGATTTAAACGGCTTTAAAGGTATATCTCTAAATGGGTTACTACATGTGTTAATAATCTTTGTTTTGTTTATTATGTTTATCCTCCCCGGCAAATTGAAACTAAATCTCAGCCGTGTCTTATTAAATTTAAAAACAATCTTTAAGATCTGATTTCTTTTGTATTTTAAGTTGTTGTTGTTGTTGTTGTTGTTGTTTTATTCTTTGTTTTATTTTTAGTTTGTTTACTTTTCTTTCTTTTTAAGGGGTGGAGTAGGTAAAAGTGCAGCTCCTGTACGATCGCTAAGGGATCTCATGCAGGAAGAAGAACAACAGCTATCTGGAAAGAAAGCAGAAACCAAAGAGACACCCTCTGCTGCCACATCCAAAGCCAACAAGTCTGGTACTCCAAGGAAAAAGCTCAAGTATGACACTCCACCCCATTACCCTTTTATAAAGTTAGACATTTCACACGTTTTAAATATGCCGCGAAGAACCCAATTTGTTACTGAACATCGCTGTCTTATCACGAGGTTAACTTCCCCAAAATTTCATTAAGCTGCGCTAAAAGTTGGTAGTATTTTATTTGCATGCATTTGTTTGGTCATTTTAAAATTTCACTTTAAAAGAATCACGGATATTTTGAGAATCTTCTTCTCGGGCATGCTACAATACAAGAATATGTGCCAGGTGAAACCCTTGTTTTAACAGCTCACGAGGCGTGCGTGACTTCTCGTGTAGCTTTGTTTAACCCGTCATAATTTCTCGTTGTTGTCTTTCTGTAGTTGGCGCTCTCAGCCTGTGTTTTGTGCATCAAGCTCAGATCTTGATTCGAAAGATGTTGATATCAATTGCGATGGCCTGTCTGGATTCTCTTCGTCGCCTCCAAAAAGGTAAACCATTGTAAAAATGTTTTGTGCTCCATCTTTTAAGATGCTTACATCCTGGCTGTTTTAAACGCGATTTAGAAAAAGTTTTACTTTGTACTTGGGGTGTTTCGATTAGCCAAACGTTCGTAGAAAAGCGTGCATTGAATTCGTTTCAGGACGTTTTCACAAACGTGAATTGCAGGTTCATTAGAAATGTGGGACGCGCGAGTTCTTATCATTCACGCGCGCCAGCTGCTACCCCACGCAGATAATGGTTTTGCAACAATGTTAAGATGCGTTTTACGTTGTTTTTAGAGAAAAAAAAACCATGAACAATGGCTCAATTCAGTTGACCTATTAAAGAAATGTCTGTGCGGCCGAACGCCATATTCGTTTTCCCTTTTATATGTTCATGCCCACTGGTTGAAAGAATTCCTGCGATTGTCTAAAATTACGACAGAATTGATAAAAAAGGAGACAGGTCCGCAAAATGCAGTGAAATGAAATCGGGGCAGTTGAGCGTTCGAAATCACAGGCTTCTGACTTTGTGTAACGGAGCATAAAAAGCGCCCTCCCTCCCTCCTATTACCATGATATACTGATATGCTTGCTTATTTATCATCATTATCGTCATTATTATTAATATTTCTTCTTGTTATTAATGACTGATAATTAATTCTTATTATTATTATTCTTACTTTTATTATTATTTGGTTACTTTTTGGTTTTGTTTTTTTGTTTCTGGAGTTCAGCGATTGTACATGTTTCTATTCTTTTCAGTGCGTGTCAGTCAACTCCTCTGGCGTGTTCACCGCCTTCCTCGTCGGTCGCCTTCTCTATACTATCCTAGAATCCCAAGAACAAGAAAATACAAACCTAAACAGGTATGTACCCCTTTTTACTGTCATAACCTACACTCAGTAAAATCATATAAGCCTATGTGAGTGCTGGATGGTGTCCCAGTCATTGCTTTGATGCCGTTATTGACCTATCTGTTCGTATAATATAATTGCAACCCTTACAGTTAGCAAAGCCTATAGATCGTTTTCACTGTCACGCAACAAAAAATTAAATTGGAAATCGTCCGGTGAAAGAAGCCAAGGAAATGACATGCTATAAAAGACTAATATATAAACAATTTGTCCAAGTCTCAGGTCTTTGTGGCCCACAGTTTCTGAGTTATTTGCCGAAACGTTTCACGCACCTTTATAGAGCTTTGTATGGGAGCGCCATATTGGTGCACCGTTTTGGTGCACCAATATGGCCGCCGGAATCAACAAAAACATCTAGAGTTCACTTTTTCTATAAAAGCTCTTTTTTTTCACGCAAGAACTAGGATACGTACACATAAACATATCTTCTAATACTTGAAGTGGTTATACTGCTGAAAATCAAGAGGAGAGACTTTTTTTCAACCAGACAACATTGCCTTTTTGGTGTCACGCACTGTGAAAACTCGGAAGTTCAAATTGCTGTATTTTCGAAATGAAACATGCTATGGAAATGGAAACTTGTACAAAGATTTACTTTTTCTTTATCTTCAACCTAGTGCAAACAAGAATTTGTAAAACCTCGCTATTTTGACTTTACAATTTGATGACGTCACAGTGAAAACCATCTATAGGTAGCCTCAAGCCAAGAGGACTTTGGCGTGTTAGACGTCAAAAACATAAACCATGTTATATATTTAGGTTGTTTTATCTAGCGTCTATTCTATTATTTTTTTAGAACTTTTCCTCTCTGTCTTTTCTTGTCTTTTTCTTTCTCTAGAGTTAGCAAAAGCCATTCCATCTGACCCAGGTATGTCAAATCATGTGGATCATTGTACGTTTCTAGGAGACTGCCCAGTTACCCCTCCCCTAAGCCAACATTTTGCCTTAAGTGAAAAGTAGATGTTAATGTTGGCTTAGGGGAGGGGTAGGTGGGCAGTTTCTTAGAAACGTTCAATGATTCCATCACATTCAGGTTACGTGAAAGCCGGAAGATTTTCTTGGATGAAATTTACGTAAAGCCGATGGAAACAGCTGATCTACAACCCCCAAATCCTTGGGGCACCCGTCCTTCTTAACTTGGACAGTCTAGGGCTCCTTTTTTCCCGCCACAGTGTTATTTAAAGGCGTGCTTTCGTAAAGCACGGGCGGTTTTTAGTGCGTGAAAAAGGAGACGGAAAAAATCAAGGAAGTATTCTAACGATAGAAAAACTTGTATTTAGCGGAAATTCACACAACCCTTTCCAGCTAGACTTGCTACAAGTCGACCTCTCATTAGGATTTTTAGAAAGTCTACTTTCAAGTCTGCGATTGCTGTTGCCTGCTTAGGACAGGGTGTTCGTGTTGTGGGGTTCGCTCAATTTAATCTTGCGTTAATGTGTTTTTTTAGGGTTATTCTCTAAATTGCGACCTAAGACTTCATGGCTATTTTTTTTTCCTGCCAGCTTGAAGAAAGAGCTATGGAGGAGTTATTGCAATACTACGGAGGATTAGACAACGCTTGCGAGTTTGTCACAGTTCAGCGAGTACCAACAACTGCAGCCAGGCCTGTATGGAAAAAGGAGAGATTACCATCAGTCACCAGTGGTTAATTCTTCGCGAGTGGAATAGGACGTAACTGATNTCCTGCCAGCTTGAAGAAAGAGCTATGGAGGAGTTATTGCAATACTACGGAGGATTAGACAACGCTTGCGAGTTTGTCACAGTTCAGCGAGTACCAACAACTGCAGCCAGGCCTGTATGGAAAAAGGAGAGATTACCATCAGTCACCAGTGGTTAATTCTTCGCGAGTGGAATAGGACGTAACTGATTAGCAGAAAACTAAAACTATACGATGTCACTCCTCGGGTGTTAAGTTATTATTGGTGACTTTAAGCCACTACGAACGACAGCAACAGGAACGTGAAAAAAGGAATAGATTTAATAAACAAAAACAATATATTTCTGCGCTTGCTTGGTATCAATTTTTCACACAGGAGTCAAACAGACTTGTAGGTTCCAGCTATTTAAGAAGAATCTATCAAAGAATCATTCTTCACTGTTAGCAGTTAACTCTTTTTTCGTTAGATTGTTCGTATTGTTGTGTTAAGAGTTAAGACGTGCAAAACAATACAAACAAACAACAACAAGCATAGCCTGCGAGCAAGTTCTTGATTCAGCGGTAAGAATCAGGTCGAGAGCTTACTCGTAGGATGAAAATATTCCGTTCCCTCTCTAAACCCGGTCTTAACCTTTCCACAATTTCAGTATGCGTTTTGTTTTGTAGACTTTCTCAGATGAAACGGATCAGAAAAGTCATCAATACTCTATTGTAGCAATTTGGATATTTTTTCTGATCACTAAAAGATTCTACTTTGACGCAAATTTGAAGGTTGTAATTTTTTTCCTTAAAAAACGTTACAATATTAAAAAGTTAACGGTGTATTGAAATTATATTGTTTGATCCAAAATAAAGAAATAACGAAATGCTATTTTACTCCTCTGCCGCGTGGCTGAAGCAACTCCAGTTTTAAAAATGCACAGTTGAGTGCCTTCAGGGACTAGGTCAGTCATTCCCTCAAAATGAGTCTTAGAGGATGCTACGATCGAATTTGTTTCATAATGTTTTTGCTTAAAAAGGAAGTGTTTTTCGTCTGAACCTTTCTTTCTGAAATCACCCAACAATGTCCGTTTCACTCGTGGCACCTTCTTGAGTCCGCTCAAGGAAGCATCCACTTTGAGGGAATATGTCAGAAATGCGTGCAGGAGGTAAATAATCCTGCGCTAAAAAAAGTCGATCCAGCCTTATGACCCTCTTACATTAGAACCCAAACAATGCAAAGAAACCCAGCAGCAGCAGACAAAGCGGAAACCAATTTGATCCTTGCCTTCTAAATCAAAAGTGACGAGGAAATGACTGTATCAAGTAACAAGCTCACGTACCAAGTCTTCAGATGAACAAGACTCAAAGAAACTCGCATGAAAATGACGAGTCAAAAACAACACCTTCCTTCTTTTGCTACCACCATCTCTGCGTTAGGCATTCTTCTGTATTGCATTGGGTTTCTAAGAGTTGAATTAGAGTTGAACAATCAGAAGAAAAGACTAAACGCGCTTGAAAACAACCCGGAGACAAAACCACAATACAACGATTCGAACATCGTCAAAATCATCAAGGATGCTAGTGGTATGTACACAGTTTGTTTTTCTTGTTTCATGCTGCATTAAAACATAGTTTAGAATTTCATGAATTCTGAAATGTCTCTTACCATCCTGAAAAAAAAAAAAACATTCTACGATGATTAATTCTGCACACTTAACCTGTATTCGCTCGCGATTGAGTGTTCCTGTACAGGTCGCCTAAGCTCACAATCAGAGCCCTGAGCAACACTACGTACCCTACTTACTCGCTAATTTATTATTCATACAGTAGCGATTATTAAAACGTTGTTTGCTCAATAGATATTAAACGAAATGTGCATCACAGTTCCCTTTTGAGTTTACCTTTAAAGTTTTCTTCTGTTTATTTGTGTGGGGAATGCGTTTCACGCTTCTTAGGTACGTTTAAATACCATTTTCTTGAGCGACTGATTTTCACCCAGATGAGCAATTAGAAAAGAGATACCGGGAAGATTGCTTGGGGCTTTGATAGTTAGCTTCCGTGGTTTTGCTGTGTTTACTGTTGGAAAAGAAATTAAAGGTTACACCGAGGTTAATTCGTTTCCTTTTTGGCAACAGGTCGTACTTGACTGATTTTTCCATGCTTGATAAATAACTGGTAAAAGAAATCATGGTCTTGAAATGTAATTTTTGCTTCATTTGTTTCCTCATTATTACAGCTTGATACTGAGCGAACAATTGAATGAAAAAATTCTTATTTGTATTAGCAGAATTTTACACCGATGAACATCATCGAGCCAGAAGACAAGCGAATTCAGCTAATAATACCAGGAAAGCTAAAACAACAGCCACCATGATTAAAGAAATGCACAAACTTTTATCAGAGGGAAGACCGGGACTTTGCAAATCAACAAGTGACGCGTGTCTTTCGGGTCCCCCAGGCCCTCCTGGTCAACCAGGGCCGAGAGGAGAGAAGGGAGACCGGGGAAGAAAAGGGAAGAAGGGAACGCAAGGATCACCAGGAAAAAGTGGTAAGCAAGGCATCATGGGACCTGTAGGGCCTAAAGGTGATCTAGGACTTAAAGGCCAAAAAGGAGATACAGGACCCGCTGGCATGCCGGGAACGAAAGGAGAGCCTGGTGAATCAATTTCAGCTCCTGTTGTTGCTGTTTCCCCTTCAAACCTGACAGTAAACGAAAGTGGAATAGCTTCATTTCAGTGTTCAGTGAGTGGTAATCCTGAGCCTGCATTAGTCTGGAGTAAAGGAGGCAACCTTTCTGAAGTAAGCAGGTCGGCGGCTTCAGGAGGGAGATTACTTTTAAAGAATGTAAACGCAAGTGACTCGGGTGAATACCAATGCTCAGCAAGAAACATCTTAGGACATGCGCAAACCCTGGTGCGGCTTGTTGTAAATGGTGAGTTTTTATAAGAAATATTGTTTATTTTAAATTTTCACGGCAAAAGATATCGCTTACACTGATTACGGCATTTACTTTTTTTTTTAATGGACGCGACTGTTTGCTTCTCTCTAACTTTCAATTCGAGCAACATGTTTTATAAACAACTAAATCATTGGATAATGCAATTCTAGAGCTCTGATTGGCTTAGCCATCATGGCATATGAGTGTATGAGCCATTATACCATGCTCTCCAAATGTGGTAACTGTACGCGTCTGCTCAAAATTAAAGACAAACTGAAAATCGGTTGTATTTACAGATAAAGTTGGGAAAAATTCTCGATATTTTGTGGAAGTTTTTAATAAAACAATTATCTCACTCGCGCTTGTTGGATATGAGATGATTATAGCCAAATCGGCGCCTTGCGCCTCGTTAGCCATCTACCATCTCATATCCAACACGCACTTGTGGAATAATTGTTGATTATTATTCATTCAAAATATTTCCCCGTTTCTGATTGGCTAAAATCACACGCATAATTCACCATAACCAGCTACCGTTGACGAAATTTGGAAAGAATTTTGTCATAGTGAACCAATGACGTCAAAAGTACAGCTAAGTTGCAGATTATTGAACCGTAGCCTGCGTAGCAAGGGTTTCCGCGCGAGTTCGTCGAGAAAAGTTGGAACGAGAGCAAAAAAAAAAAAAGTAATGACAGGGGAGGGGGAGGGGAAAGAAGGGAACGCTTGCCCGCAAACCCCACGATTTTGAAAAACTGCGTTCGCCCACGAACGCAGCTTCTGATTGGTGCGGTGCTGGTAGTGTTGATTACTTAGCACTCGAAACATCACTCAAACCAGGTATGCTTTGTTTACGCGAGCCACAGATCTGGTCTTATCTGATTTGTGGTCGCAGATTACAATTGCTTTGGACTGATTTGAATCGTGTTTGTGCGAAGGTCTAGGAGATCAGAGCCTTTTTTAATAAAGTATAATGGGGGATCGAGCTGTGGAGACTAGGGAAGGCCAATTTATTGGGAACGACGGCGTGCGGATCTGATGGAAAAAATGGACTTTTTGTTGGAGATAACATCAACGTAAATCAGAACATCGGTACTAGACACTAGCTAAATTAAAGCCGCCATGGACAAGCGATTTGTCAGCTTTTTGAAATGAAAAGATTCTTTTGTTTATTGGAAATTTAGCGGCATGTGTTGTAGTGAAATTTTCGACACGGGCTGAAGAGCAGTCGCTCTGCAAAACTTATAACCGGTGCATGGAGTAAATTGTTCCGGACAAATCATTTTTTAAGTTTCGACAAGGTTTCAGACGAGATAAAGCCACAATAAAAAACAATACATTCAGAAGCAATCGCTCAGAGTTTTAACCTTCTTTTATCGTAAACCTTTTTTATTACAGTTTTTGCAATTTCCTGGAATGTGTTCTATTAGAGAACAAAGTAATTTTACAAATCTGGTAATCCAGGGGTAATCTGTTCGTCATACTTCTATTTTGACGACCTTTCAATTTACAAATGAACCGAACCGTGAAATGTCAAGGGACGTTTTCCAGAATCGTGGGGTTTGCGGGCAAGCGTTTCCTCTTCTCCCCTCCCCCTCCGCCTCCCCCGTCCACCCTTTTTTTTTTGCTCCCGCTCTAACTTTCGCGCCATAACTCGATTGGAAACGCTTGCTATAGCTACGCAGGCTAATTGAACCGTTAACCGTGAAACATTTTACTCGTTTTACAGCGAAATATTGTCAAAAAACATGGCAAGAACAGCAAGAAGACAACTCGATGCGCGATGGACGACATCTGGTATTTGGAGTATATTTGCTGACCTGAACAGAACTTTATCTCCTTAGCTTTCCGATAAAGATCCACCATCGATATGAACTTAACATCGACCTTGTTAGCATGTACTAGCTTGTTTTTAAAATTGGAATTATTTTAAAGGAATAATGAAACAATTATTAAATTCGGCTTTCGTAGGATATGAAGAATTGTGCAGATCTCGGAGGGTGTTATCACCCTCCTCGATCTGCGAATTCTTCATATCCTACGAAAGTCGAATTCAGTAATTGCTAAATGTAATAATGTTATAATCTGGTTACTAGTTTAGATGCTCCACGACTGAGCTACTGAAAAATAAAAAAATAGAGCGAAAGTTCTTTTAGGCCACCCCCTAAATTCGACCTACAGAATTGGATGTTCAAACGTCGTAACACTATACCAACCACTTGGAAATCAGGCTTTTCATTAAACAAACAATAAAAAGCCACTGTTATGCTTTTTCATTGCATTCTTTCAGTTCATCCTCGAGTTTCCCTCCATCCGGGCCCTCATTACGCCATTGAAGGCAGCAAAGTTACTCTTCCCCCCTGTCACGTGACTGGTTACCCAGCACCAGTGGTCATTTGGAGAAAAGCATCTGGTCAGTTGCCCCAGGAGAGGGTGAAGTATAACAACAGTAGCTTACAACTTTTAAATGCTCGAAAAATAGATTCTGACTTGTATCTCTGTTCAGCAACAAACCTGCTTGGAACTACTGAAAAGAGAACACTCGTAGTGATCGTTTCACATCCTCGATTTACTGTTAAGCCACCTGTGAGCATTTTTGCGCTGCTTGGAGACACCTTGACACTTAATTGTAGCGCAACTGGTGACCCACAACCAGTTATTAGCTGGAGGAAACAAGGAGGTCATCTGCCAGTTGGAAGCAACCAGCAGATTAATGGTGCGTTAGTAATTAGAAACTTTAAAAAGAACGACGCAGGCTATTACATATGTACCGCAACCAGCGCAGGAGTGTTTGGCGTGGAAACTCTGACTCACATTCAATTTTTTTCACCAAGAGGTCAGTTATAGATAAAGCTTAAAGAGCGTAACTTATAAAAGTGCAACGGCCAATACTATTGTGTTAAAATAAGCAGAAATGCGACTGTGACCGTGGTTCCCCGCTTGTATTTTGAAGAGACATTACAAAGAAAGATGCCGGTTATTACCTCGGGGGGAGGGGGGAGGGGGGTGTCGCCCTGTTCTCTGAATACTGACCCTATTTCAGACCAAAATGTCATTTTGCACACCCATTTTCGGACGAGACCTGGCCCCTAAAATCCATATCTGCTTACCGACCTGGAGGTGATCACAAAACACAACATTACATGTTTACATAAAACAAAAATTATGTCATCATTGGTGAGCCAATCTGCAACAAATGATCGAATTCGCGTATTGCACTTTCTCTCTTATTCATTTGGAATTGAAACGACGGACACATTGATACACAACCGTCAGAACCATAGTTCCTTCGTAAACCAAACCCAATTCCAGACCAAACCGGCTCAAAAACCCTACCCTTTGGGACGGAACATACCTATATGGCTTATATAAGGGAGTACCCCCCCCCCCCTTTCCACTGAAGTTTTTACATATTTACCGAAACCAGCGCAGGAGTGTTTGACGTAGAGACTATGACTCTGGTTTATTATTATCAAGAGGTCAGTAATATCAGCTTATCAGCAGGGCCAAAAGTATGACCATATTTCTCCTTTATTAAAATAATTAAGGACGCAATCTCGACCCAGAGCTCTTCTACGTATGTAGAGCAGAGAGATCAAGAGCTCTTGGGAACCCTGGAGCAAGATTGTCTCTGATTGGTTTCAGCAAAAAACAATAAAAGTGTTTCTGATTGGTCAATTCAAGTTTGCACAAGAGCGGTTGAACGTGCGGCGTGTCAGGCGTGTGAGCGGGTTTTTCCCTAGAAATGTTGAAGTAAACACGACCGGCCGATTCTTGATTTCAGCGATTCCAAAACAACATCTGCACCCGTGACTAAAATTAGGCAGAATTACTGGATTTTCCAATGGCGAAAAATTAATCTATCTTAGAAGTGTATGGTGGCCCGCTAACGCCATAGCAATTTTGCACTTTTTTGGTGAAATTTAGACACTTTCCAATCTATTTTCCTTTATTTTTTCTTTTTAATTTGTTTTCTTTTGATTATTTTTATCTTTTTTTTTATTTCTCTTCTTTCAATTATTTTTATCTTTATTAAAAATTTCTTTTCTTTTAATGATTTTTATCTTTTTTTTTTTCATTCTCCCTTTTTTAACTTTAATTATTTCTTCTTACTTTTTATTTTGATTTATTTTGTAATTTTTATTTTATTTGGTTATACAATTTTTTTGTTTTATAAAAATTTGCAAACAGTGATCTAATTTTGAAAAAAAAAAGTCTCGAGCTCAGCAACGCCATAGACCAGAATTCCTCGCGCGCAACGAAGCGTTCCTCGTGCGCTTTTTCTCACTTCAGTCAATCGCCCGTGCCAAAAAAGTGCAGAAGTGCAAAAGTGCTATGGCGTTAGCGGGCCACCATAGAAGTGCCACTCTGGCATTTAAATATATGATGGGCTCAGCACCGGATTATCTTACTTCTGAATTTACTAAACGATTTAACATCAGTGGCCGAGAAACCAGAAACTCACAGTCGCTACATATTCCCTTATTTAAATCGGCGAGTGGCCAGAGAAGCTTCTATTACAGAACAGTGAAGATATGGAAGTCATTGGACAATGAATTAAAACTAAGCAAAGATGATTTAAGCTTCAAACGAGAGCTCAAAAGTACGCTACTTTTCTCGGCATAGAACTTACAAACGATGTTTCTTGTATCTTATTTATGATCGTATATAGTGATTAATGTTTAGCTCTTAGATAATTTTACCAATCCACTTTTTATATATTTACTATATTTACATTTTTTGTAATTATCTTTGAAAAGCCTTGTTTCAGGAAAGATAATAAAGAATGTATGCATATATAAATAGAACTTATAAACGCCTCAACTGATATATGCTACGGTCCATGTTAAGCTGCTAATATCATGTTAAAGTGACTGATGTTTTCGAGGGACGCTTGTACCCTTTAATTAGCCTTTCACCCCTTAATCACACTGTTGATTATACTTAAGGGGCTGAAGCGATCTTCAAATTATACATATTAAAGCGCATTATTTCAATGTTGACTATCAAGATAGAGGTAGAAATCCTATGGTCCTTATAGAAATCTACTTTATAGACGATTTTCATTCTCTTATAGGTCAAGACTTAGTGTTGATCGCTGCTAAAATAAAGCCGTTACTGTTGTTTATTCTCTACAGATTGTTCTGATTTGTTAAAACCTGGCCATACTCAGAGTGGAGTGTACTCTGTAAACCCAGACGGAAAAGGATCCTTCAATGTATATTGTGATATGCGCACTGATGGTGGAGGATGGACCGTGCTCCAGAGAAGACAGGATGGCTCGGTAGACTTCTATCGCGGATGGAACGATTACAAATCAGGCTTTGGTCAGCTGACGGCTGAGTTCTGGTTAGGAAACGACAAGATCCACAGGCTGACGGCCGCTAGACCCAGCTCTCTACGAGTGGAGCTAGAGGACTGGAACGGAGTAAGAGTATTTGCCAAATATGGCAAGTTCAAGATTGGTGATGAGCAGGTGAAGTATCGACTTGAAGTGGGTTCATATTCAGGGACGGCGGGAGATTCGTTAGCGTGGCATAATAACATGGCGTTTAGCACCAAGTACAGAGATAATGACATTTGGAAAAGTGGTGACTGTGCTGTGTCAAACACTGGTGCCTGGTGGTACAAAGACTGCCAATACTCCAATCTTAACGGAAGATACCTGGGAAACGTAAAGAGAAATGGGAAAGGAGTCGTTTGGTGGCACTTTAAACAATACTTTTTATCGCTAAAATTCACTGAGATGAAGTTAAGACCGTCATCGTAACAAAAAAATGTAACTCGTTGCAACAAAAGTCTTCCTCGGCTTGACAGCACAATTCAATGATATGTCACTAAAATCATCTTGTTTTTTATGTCGTCTGGAAAGTGTCCAAACGAGCCAGAAATGATCCAAAACCTTCAAATAAACAAGTATATCGCATCTACTGCGAAAAAAGTTCTTAATTTGTTTTAAAGTATCAATTTAATAGTAAACCTCTATATGGCAAGGTTAAAAACTACAATCATGGACAAAAGTCCTTGGGACAGTGAGAGCGTAACTCTATGCGTTTCTCAAGTAATGTCGCAAAAAGCAGTGCAGTCATTTTACGAATTCATGTCCCCTCCCCCCTCCCCACCCAATACAATGTTGAAAGATCAAAGAAATTGTGCCTTGACGGTTTCAACATTGTCCGTGCGGTGGGGGGAGGGGGTAGGGACGTACAGTGTTAGTAGCGCGCGGATCCAATTTCGCTTGTGTTAAAAAGCGTTCGAACTGTACAACTGTCCCAAGACTTTTGTCCATGATTGTAGAATGTTATAGAATATAAATTAAAGTTGAAAACTAAACTAACAAATACACGAGTAATCATGCTAACAGAGGCTCTAGATGTTACAAGCAAACGTTTTTTTGAACAAGTACGTCTTAATTGTTTTTTTGAAAAGATCATAACCTCTAATTGCTCTTATTTCAGAGGCTAATAAATTCCATAATTTACTTGGAATGATTTATCTCCAAGTCAGAGTTTTCTTGGTCTTAACCAATGGTGTCTCTGACAACAGTTCGTTGCACAAACGCAGGTTATATCGTGTCCATTCTTTATCTTGTTTAAGTTACAAATATAGCACGGTGCGACCGACCATAAATTGTCTTAAATTTAGGATCAATATTTGTATACTCAGCTGATCCTAAAACAAACTGGAAGCCAGTGCAGACGAATTTAAAAGGTAGGTGTTATGTGGTCGAATTTAGGTGTTCAACGGACTAAACGGGCCGCACAGTTCTGTATGC